CTTTGTTATTTCCTATATGCTACTTCTGGAGGTATTAATATTTCAAGTTTGTATAACTAGAAAATCTTACTTTTAGTTTTCAAAGGTATGTTTGCTAAGTATAAAATTCAAAGAGGACAGATCTTTTCTTTCAGTCCTATAATTAGTCTAGTTTCTTATACACTTGGTCTTTTTTTTTCTAATTTGGAATAAGATGCTATTTTGCTCTTCCATAGCTAGTATTTTTTTATGTGTATGCTTTAATGATTTTTTCTTTACAATAAGTTTTAGACAATTTCATTTTTGTGTATCTTGGTATGATTTTAAATTTCTTGTGCAAAAGGTTCATTTTTCTTGTAATTGCGGTATTATAAGTTGAACTAAATTCAGAAATTTTAAATCTTTAAATATTTATTGCCTACTCCTTTCTAGTTTGAGAATTCTAGTTATATGAATATAAGTTTCTTGGTTTTGACACAGTGAACTATTATGACTGATCTGTAAATTCTTTCATTTAAAAAAAAACATTAAAAACAGCATAGAATTTCACTGAGCAAAGTGATAGGAATTCAACAATGGTTGTTATATTTCATAATGTTGTCTTCAAATTAGAGTATTGCATAAGCCTGCAAAATTGGTCAAAAAAAGTTATAGGAAATTTAAAAGGAGGAAAAAATTAAACATTAACTGCTCCTTTCAATAGACAAGTAGAAATCAGCAGTATAAGGAACAAGCTGTCCTGTAAATGTCTTCCCTTCCTTCTTTCATTCTTTTCCTCTTCCCAGAGCTCCTTCCCTTTGAACAGATTCTTTCCCTCACAGTATCGCTCATTTCATCTTTTACTCTTTCAGGTTCTTACACTAGCAAGACAGTACATTGATTTATTTCACTCAGGAGTACGGTCTCTAGTTGCATCCATTCACCTATAAAAGCCTTGAGTTTATCTTTTTTAAAGCTAAGTAGTACTCCATTGTATAAAAATGTAACTTTTTTTATCCATTCTTCAGTTGATGGGCATATGGGTTGTTTCCAAGATTTAGCTATGACAAACTGTGCTGCGATAAACATGGGTGAACACATATGGCTGTCACATGTTTTTGTCTGGAAAAATACCCAAGAGGAGAAAAGCTGGGTTGAATGGGACCTCCAATCCGAGCTTTTTGAGGACACTCCACACTGCTTTCTGTAGACATTGTGCCCGTCTGCACTCCCACAGACAGTGAAGGATTCCTTTTTCCTTCCAGCATTTGTTCTTGACATCTTGACGCCACACATACAGCAGTGAGGGTCATGTATGAGCCATGTGTAAGTGATAAAATACGGATAACCAAAACATCCAGTTGCAACCAAATCCTTCCTTGGGCTTTTACTGTGTTTTCAAAACCAGAAAAAAAAATTCTCAGAAAATGACTTTTTCTGGGGTTGCTAGAAATCGAGCCGAGTCTCTGCCCCAAGCTAGCACCCCCAGCTCCTTTTTAGAAATTAGATGTCTAGAGTTGGAATCTCATCACATTGCTCACACTGGGCTCCGACCTGCAATCTGCCTCCTTCAGCCTTCCTCCTGAGTAGCAGGGGTCACAGGTGTGTGCCTTCACAGTTTTAAAAATAACAAACACCACCCTAAGAATTACGGTATTTGACACTGGAGAATCCCCAGCACTGGATTCTGCTAGCCTTAAATAGTTTAACTGCTTGCTCCATCTGTGGGAAAATATTTCCTAAGCAGAGCAAAGTGCTTCTAGATCTGCCACCTTACTAAGCCAGTGGAACTTCCCACAGACAAGCCATGTGGAAGCTGCCAGGCAGAAGTTCAGCAAGTGCGGGGCTGGGATTACGGGCATAGGACAGCACACCCAGCTCTGATTCCTTGTAAGAATAAAAGGTGACAGCAAATATTTAAAACCAGAAGCCAGCAAAGTCAGACAAAAATCACATTTATTTCAACAGCTCAAAGTGCAAATACAGTGAGTCAGTTCACAAAGTTTCAAGATACAGATTTAAGTAGAAAGAAAACTTACTGTACAAGAAAGAAAGAGTAAATAGCAGAAATAAAGCTGAATTTTTTAAAACTTTAAAAAACGCTTTGGACTAAAATATTCCACCTACATCCAAGCAGAAGCATTCTCACTTACAGGTGTACTGTAAGGCTCCCCAAAGAACCTGCCCTCTACGCTGGTCGGCTCCACCCAAGGTCAGCGTCCTTGGTGTGGCTGCTGCAGGTCTGCAGGCTCCAGTCACTTGCTCTATCAGCGGCTGTGCTTCCAATCACATTTTGATTTTAGGCAAACTCTTAAAAAACTGTTCAAAGGTAAGGCCAACACCATTATTACGCATGACAGGGGGCAGCTAACAGGCCTTCAGACGCTGTCAACTTCTGGTCTCTGGCAGCACTGGGGGAAAAGACAGGTGATGGTTCTTTCATTACCGAAAACCTCGTTTTAAAGTTAGCAACATGGCTAACCTCACGAAAACCATACTTAAATATAAATTTCTTCATTTATACATATCCAGAACTTGTATGTAAAGTAGAAAAATTCCCACTAGGAAGATAATTTTGTTAATGTTCGTTTTGTCATTTAGCAGCCAAGACACATGCTTATTTCTGCTCCCCAGAAGCAATGTTAGCTACTACTTTCAATTCAGGAAAATGGAGGTCTTCGGGAAGGTCTGAGACAGATTAGTCTGTTTTTTTCTGAATCTTCTTCATCTTTTCATAATAGGCATGATATTGAGAATCTGTTCCAAAAATCCGATCCCACCACGTAAAGGTCGAGGCATAGTTTCCAATGAAGTTCATGTGGTGGAAATCGTGATGCCGGGAGCCAGCGTAGAAAGGGATGAGGTTTAAAGGGTTGAGAGGAATGTCATAACCACTGAAATCAAAGTGATGAAAAGGTCGTTAACGAGACAGAAACACAGCAAGCAAGCAGCTGACACGTTCTTGAACAGCCTATTGTGCTTTGTCTCCATTAGTTCAGTCGGACATGTTTACAAAAAAGTTTAACAAAAAGGTGTATATCTTAAAAACATGTTAGGAAATTTTTAAAATCCAAAGAAATTATGTTATACATCAGGGGATGGAAGATGTTATAGTAATGAATCTTCAGACAGTCATACTTAAGAATTACTTTCATCTAGTTTAAGAGGAGCTTTTCTATCATAATCTGTAACAAATGTAAATAATGTTGGTAATACTATCTATGTTTTGGGGAAAGTTACATAAATAATATCCAAGTATTAAAAGTATTAAAAGTATTAAAAGTTAAGCCCAAGAATCTCTGTGTAGCACCTTCTTTTACTTTTTGAGGTAATGACATCTAGCACTACACATACCATAATTGAAACTTCATCATCCTTCTGTACAGGTGGGAGAACATAAATGACCCCAGAGTCCATTTAAATTATACTCCTTTATTTCTAAAAGGAGAATTCCTAGCTATCATTGTAAGTTCCAAGGAAGACTACAGTGAACATGTAACTGTAAAGCAAGGTAAAGTTAAGTTATTAAGCATGCAGGAAGGTACTAAATAGAAATAATTTAACACAAAACATCTGCCAATGAATAGAAAGGAAGTCTCTGAAATACATTTGCATTATAAGCAAGACTTTCATCATGCGAATACTTTCATCAGTGTTTGGCAGAGATCGGAAAGGGTCTTCCTGAATGAGAAAGCTGAAGGTTTCAATATATTTTCAAACCAAGAGTTTGATTAATCAGGGATCTAGCTCAGTGTAGAGCCCCTGCCTGGCATGTACAAGACTCTGGGGGGCTTGATTTCTAGCACTGTCAAAATAAAAGTTAGATTTAGGTTTCCTACAGGATAAAGAAATTGCTGGTCAAGATATTTAATTTGTCTAAATAGTACACTTTTAGGAATGCAAAAATAATTCTGTTTATTTGAAACTTTATCAAATGATTATGTTCTTTCTTTTTAACAATACAGCAACACATGAAATATTAGTTTACTGAGAAATACCATGAAAATAAAAGACATTCAATGCCACACCTCTTACTTGAACACAGTGTAACTCACCTGTGGACGTCAACAGTTTCTATCAAACGTATGGTCACCCAAGCCCAAAGAAGAATTACATGATCGCACAAAAGCAAGATGCCAATGAAAAATCCAGACCCAAGGATGATGGTTTCCAAAGGATGTGCATATTCAGCTTCCATTCCAAAGGGCGCCTGGGCCAGGCAGAGTGAGAAGTTCTTTAATATGCTGGATGGTTAATGATATGCATCAACTTAGCCGGGCTACCCATAGTGCTCAGCCATGAGGCCAAACAGTCCAGCTGTTGCTGGGAAGGTGCACTTCAGACCTGGCTCAGATTTGCATCGTTCTTGGATGAAGGGAGGTTTATCCTCCAGGGAGACAATGGGCTTCATCCAACCAACTGAAGGCCTTGATAGAAGAGATTGATGTTTCCTGAGGCAGAAGCAATCCTCAAGACTACAACACAGGAACCCTGTCTAACTTTCTGACTTGTTCCCCTTCAGCACATGGACTCAACACCACAATATCCATTCCTACCCAAAGGCACAACCTGCAGCTTGCTCTGCAGATTTCAGACTTGTCAACCCCTGCAATTCCCTTAAACTAAATCACTACCCCCACCTATCTATATTGATTCTGTTCCTCTAGAGAACAGTTTTTCTATGTATGTAACTTTATAAAGCTGTATTTCTGTTAATGATAATATATCCAACCATATAAATATAAAAAATAGCTCTCAATAAAAGTATCATTTTGTTCTTAGAGGCACAAAATCTTAATATCATCTTTAATGGTTTAAGATAAAGACATTAAACAACTGACTTGAAATATAACTTTTTATTTATGCATTTGTTATTCATTCTGCCAAGAAACCGATGCTTTGACTGACAGCATACCATGTCCAGTAAAACCCCTAAGGTGCAGTTCTACTTTGCAAAGTTTCATTTACTCAAGGTCAACTACTGTCCAAAACTATTAAAGGGAGAATTCCAGAAATGAACCATTAAATGTTAAACTGTGCAACGCTCAGGGGTATGATGAGATCCGTACCATCCCCTCCCAAGACACAAGCAACCATGGGGCCCATGTCTTCTACCCCACTAACTGCCTGGGAGATACGCAAGTATCACCCCTCACCTGGCCTCCTAGAATGCGTCCCTGTGGACAAGGAGCAACTGTGGAGAGCAAGAGCAAGGCACGACACGCCGCCCCCACCCGGGCGACAGAGCCACGTCAGAGCAATTCTGACAACAAAAAGAAATCAGTCTGTTGGGGAGTCAGCTCTGTGATAAAAATGAGTTAAAACTCGGTCAATAATTGCCTTGGAGAGTTAAGCATTAGTTTGTTTTGGGGTCTCATCTAACCAACCCTAGTATTACTGTAGCCACTATCAAACTGCCAGGTATGTTACAATGTTAATATAGCATTCTGGTCACAGGACTGAGTCTCAAATAGGTCATGTAATATTTTCTTCCATGTCATGACTTACCATGAAATTTAGATACTGAAGAACATTTTTAGAATTGGTTTTGTGTATTACCTGTGTTACGCTGTTAATAATCATGCCAAAAGTAAGGCTAACACATTAATGACAAACTTTGTTGCTGCTATTTTTTGAGACAGCGTCTCCCAAGGTAGTCCTCCAAGCCAACTTCAAACTTGGATTTCTCCTGCCTCTGCCTCCCCAAATGCTGAGATTACAGGTATGTAACACCACACACACTTTCTATCCCTGACAATCATTTAAAAGTGTTCAGGCAATAAAAGTAGATACTTTGCCCTTAAAGGAAAATGTAGCACATGTAATTCTAACATACCTGAAACTCATGATGAACTTTGTGAATATATTTATATATTCTTTTGTGGTGCAGGAGTCTGTGCAGGAAATAGTGCCAGGTGTCTTCGATGACTGCACACCCCATGCATCTTGCCAGAACTATGTACCTTAGAGATGAAAACATGATGAAAGTGAGGCGACTCCCACCGAGAGGCCACAGAAAGCCCAGTTGTCAGCTGGGCCCAGCTGCATATATTAATCAGCACATGCAGCAAACCACCAGGTGTGGCAAGGAGAAGCAACCCGAAATAAGGCTACACAGCTGAGCCACCCCTCTCCACCTCATTCTGTCAAAGATCAGTTTCCAAAGCACAGTTATACAACAAAATCTAAAGTTTCTGGGGCTGGGGAGATGGTTCAGTAGAATAAGCACTTCCCTGGCAAGTGCAAGGGCCTGATTTAATCCCTCGTTCCGCCAAAAAAAAAAAAAAAAAAATCTAAAATTTCCAAGAAAATAATATTGATGAAGAACTTCAACTAAAATTAACAATAGTTAAACCAACACCACCTTTTTCTTTTTTAGTGATACAAAGGATTGAATGTAGGTATTCAAACAGGCTAGGTAAGAGTTCTGCTAAACTCTACCCCTATTCCTTTCTAAAAAAAATTGAAATTTAACTTTTAATTGTTTAATTATACTGTGCTTATCTCTCACTGCTTTTTCTACAGAGAAGGGCATCTTCACATTTCCTAAGTATAGTTATAAGGCCAAAAAATAATTTAAGTGAAATGCAAAACAAAACATATACAAATACCAAAAAATTCAGACATTCCTTTTATGATAGTCATTATGTAGAAAAGGGGTGCAGTTACCCCTCGGCTTCTGCAGGGATTGGGTCCAAGATTACCTCATGGATGCCAAATTCCACACATACTCAAGCCCCTTCTCTATAAGGTTGCAGATCTGTTAAAATCCATACACGTCTTCCCATATATTTAGGTCGCTGTAGATTACTTAAATACTTAATATAATGCAAATGCTACACAAAGCTGCTCTCTAAAGACACAATTTTTTTTCTTTTAAAAAAATCTTTTCAGGGGGCCTGCCCCTTAGCTCAGTTCCTTAAGTGGCTGCTTCAACAAAGCAGTCAAGCTCAGGTTGCTGTGGTTCGATCCCCACAACACAAGACAGCCAGTCATGCCTTGAAGGCATTCGGAGCAAAAAAAAAAAAAAATCTTTTCAGTCTTCCAAGCATGGTGTTACACACCTGTAATTCCAGCGCTCAGGAGGGAGAGGCAGGAGGACGGCTATGACTTTAGGGCCAGACTGGATTACACAGGAAGTTAAAGGCCAGCATGAACTACATAAGACCCTCTCTCTTGGGGCCGGGGGATGGCTCAGTGGAATAAGCGCTTCCCTGGCAAGTGCGAGGGCCTGAGTTCAATCCCCGGGTCCACAAAAAAAAAAAGGCCCTCTCTCAAAAAACAAGTGAACAATTCCTCCCCACCATAAAAGAAAAAAAAAAAAATTCTATCTAAAGTTGGGTATATTCAGGGACACAGAAGGCACAAATAGAGAGGGGCAGCTATGTTAAGGACAAAAAGTTGAATTTAAACATTAACTGAGCAAGAATACAGTACTTACACCCAAGATATATATATATATATATATCCAGGATGAATGGATGGATGGATGGATGGATGGATCTATCTATCTATCTATCTCTCTCTTTATGCCCTATGGACACAATTTTATAAACCACACAATCTGTTCTCTCATATTTTTCATTCAATTTGGACTTAAAATATATATTCCACCTTAGTCTGTGTAAATTTCTACACAATCATAAATCTTCTGATGCCAGAAACTCACTTCCAATGAAATACTGCGTTAAAATATAGAAAAAAACAGGAACATTCTGAAGTCTGTGCTATGGTTCACTTTCTATTTATTTACTTGTGAAGTTTAAAGCATCATTAACCAAATGAAGAAAAAAGGTAAACATGAAGCATAACTGAATTGAGTAATCAACCACAGCTGAATGTAAAATTCAAGTTTTTGCTTACTTACCATCTTGGCATTGCTTCCCAATCGTAAGGAATGTGGAAGTATTCTGTAAAATAATAGGTTCCACAAATCAAAGGCAGCTGGATACAAAAATGATTAAAGAGAAGTACTTTAAAACATTTCCATTGGCCTTCGAATGATTCTGGTTTATCCTATTGAGAAAAATCATAATATTTAATATTAATCTCTGCTCTCAGGAATATAGCTTGACAACTAGAAGAGCAAACTGAAATTCTTAATTTTTTCCTCTAATGTTCACAACAGACCTTAATTCTGTGCTATCTTAATGTTATGTTACAGTAGCTAAGGCTCTTGGCAACTAATACCATTATGTTACCTAAGCAGGTAAGAAAACACTATACACAAGCCTAGCTATGATGATCTAAAATGAAGACGCACAGCAGAGGCTAACTCTCCAGTGTTAAGCTACGATTATAGCTGGATGGCCCCAACTTTACAGCTGAGTGACCCCAACTTGGGCATGTGTACAAACAGCATGGGCAACTTTCACTGAACAAGCAAATTGCTATTTTGGGACTATTTGTTCCAGGAGAAAAGTGCACTGTATTCATATATAATGACCCAATTATAAGCTCCAGGAACTGACAGAACTTCAGAAATGTGCCCTGATGATGAAACTCAAATTTAAAATAAGAAAGTGAGGTCAGTATAGGATATATTCATAAAAACCCAAAAGGATACTATACTGCTCTGCAAACCATTACTGAAACCTCTAACTTAATCAATTTAAAAGGCATAAGAAAAAACACTTTTGTGTTTTTAATAATAATCAGAACTGGACTAACATCTAGGTATCTTGATATAGTTATGGTTTAAAAATTCATTGAGATATCTTCCTGGCAAAAATAGGAGAAGTCCTGAAATAAAAGTCAACCACACTAGAGACCAGGGCTCTAAAAACGCGCTGCCAATAACCAAACTGTTCTGTGACATTCACAAGTTTTCTCAGCAATAAAGCGAGGGGTTAGATGAGAGTGATTCAATTGCCTTTGTATTTCTATTTTTGAACACTGTCAAACCTCATTCTTCAAAACCTGTGCTTGAGGACAAAATTAACCGAACTTTCAGCTTGGGGCTGACAATATCACTTGCATTTCCTGTCTAGAACCTTCTACCCATGTAGCTACATAAATTACAATGTCTAAGCAATGTGTCAATTAGAAAGACAGTTAACAAAAAATCCACGCCCAATACATTGAAGTTGGATTTGCTTTTAAAGTATTCAATCACACTAAGCATAAACCATGCTTGAGTCTATCACACTCACCTTTTGGATCTTATACTTTTTCATGTAAGGTATAAATTGAAATAAAAGTCCAGGTACACAGAATAAAAAATAAAGGGCTTCATGAACTATGAGGGAGCCCCATGTTGCGATCTGGAACTTTGTGTAGTTATTTAACATAGAGATCCAAGCATTCTTAAATGGTTGTTGCAAAGGGTTCTCAGGCAGAAGTGAATCGATGTACTCCACAGCCAACGAGGCGGAGCTGAAGATGCCAGCGCTTTCGTTAGCTGCCATTTTTCAAATCTCTTCAGGCAGCCTTTTAATTCTGCAAAAATAAGTAAACAGACAAGCTAAACATAAAACTCTAAAAAGTAGGGTTTTTTCCCATTTGTTTTGGTTTAGGTTTTGAGACAGGGTCTCGCTGTATATATAGTTTCGGCTGACCTCAAACTCACAGTGATCCTCCTGCCTGCACAACCATGCTGGACCCCAAAAGGCAATCTTAAATATGCATCTGGTGATAGTTTTAAAAGTGACACTTGGACTGGCAAGATAGTTCAACGGACTAAAGCCCTGCTTAGGCAAGCTCAGGGACTGATGGTTCTATTCCCAACACCATGCGCAGTACCAGCCCCACCCCTAGGGTGGGCTGAGCCAGCTGGAGTCCAGGAGTAGTGGGACACGCCTGTAATCCCAGCACTGGGGAGGCTAAAAACAGGAGGATCATTATGAGTCTGAGCTGCTGCGTAGTGAGACCCTATAACAACCACACACATTAAAACAAAACAAAAAACTGACACACATTTTTTAAAACTCTACTGGATGCCAGCATCTCCATTTGAAGACAAGGTCTTGAAACCCACATATTAATTTAACAGGATAGCAGCAGTGGAAAAAGGGTTTTAAATTACTTTTTTCTTTTTTTTTTTTAATGGTACCAGGGATTGAACTCAAGACCTTGGGCTTGTCAGGCAAGCACTTATTCCACTGAGCTGTCTCCCCAGCCCCCTTGAATTACTTTTAAAGAGATTTTTTTAGTGTATGGCTGCTGAAAAAAAAAAAAAAACCTCCTAATTTCAGTGAGGAATCGTTGGACTTAAGTGTTTAAGAATCTATCAAGAAAAGGTCTGTTAAGTTTATCATTGCTTATAATTTGCCATGCTTTGGTCTCTTATAGTGTTATCAAAATGGTGATAAGTTTTATGTTGAAAACCTGAAAAGGTTTTTCCTTTAATGGGACATTTTATTCCTTTCTTTTTTTGGTGGGACCAAGGATCGAACTCAGGACCCTGCTCTTGCCAGGCAAGCACTTATTCCACTGAGCTATTCTTCCCGCCCTTTATTCCTACTTTGTATATAGTACTTATATTCTTAGCTGCTGAAGTTACTAATGTTCCTGTGTGGGACCTCTGATCTGTTTGACTGCTATGGTTTATTATCTTAGCAGCTCTGAAGAAACACAAATTGGAGCAGCTCCTGATGGGTTTTGATGTATTTCAGAGGTTATTTCTGATCTGAGTTCCTCTATGTCTTTCTGCAGTTGTTTCTTTACTTCAGATGCTATTAATTCAGACATTTCAGCTGTGTGATTCCCAATTTCTTCTGTGCTAGTGTCTTCTGCACTCGTTCTGGGTGGGCTCAGGGCCTGAGATTGCATTTTGCTCCTTCTTTTTGTCATTTTGTATAGCACTGTCCTCTGACCTTTGGTGTAGAGCTTTGGTGCAGTTATAACGTTAGCACCTACTGAAATTTGGGTGCAGATCTACAAAGTTTCAATTTATCCAGCTGTGCCTGGCTTGAGTCTGGCTGCTGTGCTCAGCTCCTTCCTGCTGCCACCCTTGGGAGTGAACCTGTTGT